AGCTTTGACTTCTTAATTATTCTTCAGCAAAGGTCCATTCTAATTATTTTGTCTTTCCAAGTTTTATCCAGATATTTAAATTTTTAAAATTTAACTGGTATGTTAAATAGAAATGTATGCAAAACAATTTATGCACTCTTTTGAGGGAATATGGATATCTAACAAAGCCTCCATTTTGTACCCAATATTTTGAATATTTCTCTTTACATCCTTCACAACAGAAGTTGTAAGAAACAATTAAAGGATCAAAAATGTATATTCATAATTATTATAAATTATCAAATTATTACTGGGCATATCATGATCTTCCCAGAACTCCCAAACTCTAAAATAACTGCTAATATAAACCCAACATAAATCAAATACAGCTTATGCGCAGTAAATTATCAATGATGTCAACATCTCTTTAGCTTGGATGTTTGTTCAGCTCCACAAGGGTTTCAAGAAGAAAAGTGACAAGTGCTTCTGCTAGCAATCTTTGCTGCTCTGCTTTGATCTTTAAGGAGAAGACAAGGGCATTCCCAAAACATCATCAAATCAAAGGTTTCAATCAACAGCACCAATCAGAGGATACCAGATGTAGCTGTAACAATGACACAACTATTTGCTGCAGGTTTCAGAGGAAAAAGGCAGCTCTTGGACACTTTTGCATATTGCAAGAATGGGAATTGAGATCTGCTTCTGAGGTATTCAGATTCAGCCTCTTCCACCTCCAGTGTTACAGCTCTTACCTTTTGCACATTCTCTGACACAGGTAACCCACAAGGTGTTACTTGATTCACTGCTGAATCAAAGTGTCTCAGTCTGAAGAACTGCAGCTGTTCAGTGTCTGCACGCTCCAAGAGCATTTCAGCTGCATCTACACTACTCCAATGAACTGACCACGTGCTTGACTCTTCTTTTCCATAGTTTAATTTGTCTTGGTCTTGTTATCAGTTTAGAAGATCATAAAGCAGTATGCTAGTATGCCTAATAGTACTAGTTTCGTACACCAAACACGGAGAATTACGCTTATTATTGATTATTGGGAACTGCAGCTTTACATGCATCTGATGATGCAGGAAGTTTCAGTCTTATCATCAATATGAATCATTAGAGGTGGAGTTGAGAAATCCTCTTTGATGTTCTGTATAATTGTTTATTTGATGTACTCTTTATAAGTCTAAATAAGCTTGTTCAGCAAAAATTTCAGGTTTTATCTGGTCTTTTACCTCTTTTATCCCTACTTTATTCCTTGTTGCTCTAACATACTATGTTCCTAATTACTACATTACTGACTATTACTAATTGCTATATTAAGTAACTGGATTTCTCTGCCTTTTTGTAGGTCATTATTTTCTCCTAATAAAACAAATAAAATGAGTCTCAAGATACTTTGAAGTTTAAATGTGTGTCAGCTAGTAGCCAGTCTCTGTTTTACCTTTATTCCTAAAGAAAGTCATGGTTTTTCACTATTCCAACTCCTACATAAATCCTTTCGTTTGACATTTTATGCTTGTAGTGACTCAGACTTTTTGAAGTAGCTAATATAGCCCGAGTTGATGGAATTCTCTCTTGATTCTACATTTGACTGCAAACTTCACACTGTTTGCAAACACTTCTAGGACTCCACATACAAGAAGTATCCTCTCTCATTTTTCTCAGTAGCAGCAAAGCATTTCAACTCTCCTCAGATGATCCACTGGCCAAGTTCTAGTCATGGGGCAAGGAGAGAGGAGCGGCATGATTTCTCACACCCTTCATCCTTCGTTTGTCAGCAAGGTTTCCCGAATCTGAGCAGCAGTGGGAATGGCCAGGGGAAGGCATTCCCACCAAACATAGCACTATCAGGGCTCAGCAAGGCAGAGAGGCTCAGAGAGGTTTGATGAGGTAGTTTGAGAACTGACTTCAAAAGTCAGTTCAACCACATGTGAACAATGTGAATCTAGCATGGGGCTCATCAGTTCCCATCCTGGCCCTTTCCTCTTCACAGTGCATCTTGACTAAACACTTTAGAATTGGGAAGCTTAGTTCTTATGCAAAACAATAAACGAGACATTGAAAGATCCTTGAGGAAAATTACACAAATCAGCATGGTAAATGGTTAATTTTGTCTCTGGTGGAATACTCTTGTGCTACTGTGATTTTTTCCGTATTTCCAGAATTCAGGTTTACTTCTGTGTCAGCTTCTACCAGCGCCACAATTCAGACTTTAGTATATATCCTATTTAGTACAAGTCTCCTGGTACTCAATAAGCAGAAATCGTTGTTCCAATACCTAATCCTTAGTGCCCACAATGTTTTTCCTCTCATGTCTGCTTAGTTGTAAACATTATATAAAAATAAATATATTGCCTGTTTTCCCTATATCTGCCCTAAAATCATACTTCAGCAGCTTCTGAAAGATGTTATTTAAAGAAATAACTCCTTTACACACTGTATTACCTGCCAAGCTAATGTATACAAAATATTATGAAAGCAGAATAACATTGTTCCAAATACAACGAGGCATGTATAAGAATAATAAAAATACAACCTGCAATTTTATGAATCATGAGGAAAAAAATATGAGGGGAAAATCAATTTCCTATTTCAGCAGCTTCTAAGAATACCGAGGTCTGGAAGTAAACTTTTCCCACAAACTTCTTATTGTTATAACTATGCACCACAGAAGGGTATGTAACTTCCTCTAAAGCCTCTAGTATTGACTTCTAGAGGTAGAACAAAGTTAGAGAGGTATAATACAGGATGTCTTCTTTAATATTTTAATATTTAATACAACTTCTGTTTTTATAGCCTTTGCTTTTTCAGCAATGAAGGATATTTTTTTCTTAACTCAAAGTAATCATGAGGGACATATAGTTGCTGCTGATTTCCATTTAAAGAAAAAATTATAGCACAGAAAAGTAAAAGAAAATTCCATGTGCTAGCTCTCCTGAATGTGGCTTAATGTCTACTTAATGACATTTTTCTCATGTGTGGCATGCTTCATTGCCTGCTTGTGCCAGTTGACAGGTTTAAAAAATCAAAGTCACTGTATACTGCACAAAACATGAGATTTCAGTCAGCATTTGACATATGTGTTTCATTTCATGATTCCAGAAGAATTTTTGTAGAACCCAGATAGATAAATTGTACTTACTCATTTTTCTCTCTCTAGATAATATAAGAACTTCATTAAGGGGAATTGAAGCAGTGGTAGTAAAAGAGTGAAGACTCATATGCTTAAGAGAGTTATGGTTCTCATATGACTTTAAAACTACACAGTTTTAAGAATGAATTTTGATTTAATACATATATACAAATACTCAATGTCTAGTTCCGCAAGTTCATTGATAGAATAAATAACTTATTTTCAAGTACTGAAACTACACTTTGGCAGAAGAGTAAATTAACTGTTTATTTCTGGAGACATTTTGTTTGATGTGTGCAATAAATAAATCACCATATTCATAAATAATTCCATTTATAATTTTCCTTTTTAATACATTCCAATAATACTGAAGTTAAAATTTTAATTAAAAATATAAAAGATGTAGAGTGAGGCCCAATAATATGGTGTAGGTGAAATGGAAAAACAAAGATAGTAAATACTTCCTTAGGTAGTTATATTCTATCCAGCTCCTTCACATGAGAACCCATTTTCTCCACACCAGTCCTACTTCTGACTCATATTTCAGTCAAGCATAGAGGGAGCAGGAAAATCAGCAGATTAAATTAAAATCTGGTTATACATACAATACATAAAGTCATATTTTTGTGGTACATACAATCACAACACTTACGATCAGGTCTGCTCACAGTGTTATTCTCATCTCTAAAAGGTAACACCTTTCAAAGCCCACAATAAAGAAACACAGGAAAATAATTTTGCTATAGGTGTCAAAAGAAACATCTAAACACGACATTATACCAAGTCCCTCCCATGCGTTAATAAACATTCCTGTGCCTTGCGTAGTAAAAACTACAAATGTAAAAACCCAAAAAATCATGGAGAGCATCTAAAGAGTTTTAAAGTATTTTAAGCCATTTTCACAGTTTTGGGGGTTCTTTGTCAATTCTATTTTCGTTAACAGGGTTTTTCATTTTGAAATGGGCTTTGCTAAAGTTCTTCCTCTATTTTCCCGCACTGAAATGTATATTCTAAAAAGTAATTATAACAAGGGTATTAGTCACATTTTCTTCAAAAACAATAATACTTAATAAATTTGACAGTTTCTTTGCCTTCAAATATTAAATGTCTCATTTTACAGCAGCTTTGCCACTACTGGGAGCAAGGAACTATACCCTGGAAATAAAAGTCTAACACAGACTTCTCTTCCTCAACACGTTTTTATAGGTCAGAAGTCTCGTGTTTTCCACTTACGATCTGACCTCAATTAATGAAGTCTTTCAGAGGACACTAAATTATTTTTGCATAATAGAAGTTTAAATTGAAAATATCTTGATTATTTTAATTAACACAGTCTATATGACATGACCCTGTTCCAGATAGCAGGAAATTTTGGACAGTATATTTAAGGTTATATTACTACACAGAGATTCAGTTTCTTGGAAAACTGCCACAGCTGGGGTGAAAGCTTTTGTTGGTGTATAAAATACCTTTCCAAGTGCTAATTGTAACAAGTAACTAACGCTGCATCTTCCAGTTTTCAATAGATCAAGAAAACTCTTTGTTCAACTATGTGAAAGCCATGAACAAGTTTCAATAGGGCTCATTCCATCTGTCACTCAATAAACATCTTTTTTACTTCTTTTTGAGTTTTTAAATCATGGAACTATTGTTCCTTTCAATGGATAATTACACTGCCTATTTCATTTGCTTTAACTTAGCCTTCTTAAATTTTAATAATCAAGAACACTGTGTATTGTTTTGCTGCACATTTCCAAAAATTTTATTATAGACACACAAGAAACTTTTACTGAAGAAAAAACCTGCCACTCATCTATTACTTTCTAAAAGGATGTTGGATATTTCAGTTTAGTATATTTTGTCGCTTTTCAAAACAAAACTCCCTTGCCTTAGAATGATAATCTTGTTCCAGCCTGGAATCTGATCCTGCTACCTGTTTGTACTTGCTCATTTTCATTTGGCGATTCCTTTCTTCTACATCCATTGCACCTGTTAAGTTAAAAAAAAAAAAGAAAATAAATACACAAGCAGTCCTCAATTCCAAGGTTAAAATTATATTTATGGAAGTTTTAACAAAAAGAGATGAAATTTGATTTACTTAAATTCTGTGTATATAATTTTAATTTCTGAAGTACAATGTTGCAGAAAACTAAAAAGTTGTAACAGGAGGAAAATATCAGATAAGTATTTCAGCAGTCTTAATAAATGTCGCATTATCTACACAATTCAAATGAAAACAACTTTGTGGAAAACTAAATATAAATGGAACACAATGCTTCCACAGAATATAACTTTATTATTTCAAAAATAATTAAGAGAAATTGAGTCTTTCATTTAATAAAAAGGAATGCAAAGACAACTTGCTTATTTGGGTGCAGATCCTGGTTCTGCATTTACTATAATGTGACATACCAAATTACTAGTCAAGTGACCACCACAGACTAGCAGACCTTCTGTTTACTATTGGAGCATATTCTTGGTATGCTCAAAACTATTTAAAGATGTCTAAAAGAATCTTAAAGAGCCACCCAGTGGCATCATTGTATTATATTCTAATGACACACAATTTCAAGAATGATTTCAGGATTCATTCTTGGATCAAATATGTGATTAGTTTCAGTCAGAGATGGGTTCTTACTACATGACTCAGGCAGCAGCTGGTTTCAACCAGCTGGTACTGTAACACCACAATTTACTTTGTAAAATAATAAGGAGGTGCCAAAGCTGAGGTGGAAAACTGAGAAGCAGAAAAAAAAGAGGAAGACAACCACTCAGAAAAGATTTTCAAACAAAATATAGGTAGCGATTATACACACACAGGTTTGATTCTTTTCCATTTTAACATGGTATAAGTCAAGAATAGTTCATTATGCACTGAATGCTAAAACGTACTTATTTTGACTAACATTGCCTTAATCTTTTCATAATTTTAACACAAAACTTATTTAGGATTAAAATTTTAGAATCCCACTAGTCATAAATGAAGTTTCTGTATATTATATGCATTGAACAATCTGGACTGTATATATGGAACTGAGATGGGAATATTAGATTCCAGTGTACTAAATAAAACTGATTTAAACTCTAAGCCTCAGTTGCAAGTCACAATCTAATAGTAAAGTGGGGCTCTGCACAGGACCTATGCAGGGCCTCTGAGCTTTGTGCTGTCTTTCTTGAGAACAGTAAAGGTAGTAGCAAATACTATGAGATCTGCCAGGTAAATGTTGGGGCACTTCATAGGAAATCTGAAAGGAGAGAAGGTGAAAGAAAGTGGGAATGCAAAAAGACTAAATTGTACTGTTCCCTATAAACCCTCTGGCTTCTGATTTTTGTATTCTAACTCTACATCCTTATTCCCCACAACAACATGAATGAAAAAATTCTAAGAGAAATTAAAATAAAGAAAAATTAATTAGAAAGAAGAAATGGTATTTTATAGGGAGAAATAAAATAGAAAGGAGAGCAGCAAATGAAAATTCCTCAAATAAAATACATCTAGTTTTTCCTGTCACAATTTTCCTCAACTATTATACGTCCCATAGCAGCATTTGTCGATTTATTGTAAAGATGAAGTGACTTTTTTAGGATGTCGTTTTAAAAGCTCTAAAGATATATTTTTTTCTCTTGAAAAAAAAAAACTTTACACTGGAAAATGATATTTTCTTTTTTCAATGACAGAAGTAACATATAAGGTGCTACGTCTGCTCAAAGAAAGAAGTCATCTTTTGCTTTTTTTGTTATTTTGTCATAACATTCTGCAAATCCACTTGGCATTTTTCAGTAATGTAAAGAAAGGAGATATTTTTTGCAAAATAGAAATATGGGTCAATTTTTCTTCTGTTTTCTTATGAAATCATTGCATGCATTCTTTTTCGCCAAACATCCTGCTAAATTTCAGGAAATTACAAGAAGTGATGAAATAGCACTTCTTGATCGTAAATTAGAAATTTCACAATAACTTGAGAAAATATCCATTCTTATCTATGTTCAGCTGGCAAAGTGAAAGCTAGATTTTCAGAAATTCAATTGCCTACAATATGCAAAACCCAGCACTCTGAAAGATACCATTCAAAAGAGGAGCATAACACGTAAGACCTTGGTGAGACCTCTGCAGCAAAACAAGCAAAATTTGTGGTTTATTTTTGTCTAGGAGAAAAACAAGACAGAAGAATTTTGAAAAAACATTGTTCTATTCCCATAAAATCTTATTAAAGGAAAATCTAACTTGCTTTGCATTTTTGAAACTGTCTTTGAGAAGTGAGTGGATTCAGTTATATGCAAAAAAGAGGAAAACGTGAGGGCAGTGGAAAGTTCATAATGCAGAAGATCAGCTCTGGTTCTGCTGTACAAGGAACTGACATGCAGAAAGTGTGCAGAAAGTGTTCCTGGCTGCCACGGGCTGATCTCACCGTAACTTAAGCCAGATGGCAGTAGGAAAGGTTGTGCCAATGTCATGGCACTTCCCATTCACGTGGTCCATGTTGCACTAAATGGTGCAAATGCAGGGCTGTCATCATCTCCACTCCTGCTGGCAAATCTGTACCTGCTGAAACCTATGTGAGGGCACCAAGCAGAAGCAGAAAATTCTTCTAGAGTTCAGTAACTCCCTGTGTACATTCAGCTTTTAACATGAGTTTAGTAACCAAGACTGAACATCAGTCCTATCCTAAGGACTTCACTGTAATCAGGAGCTGTTTATAGAGCATGTGTAGATAAACCAGAACTAGCCTGAATCTAACCATTAGGTATCCACGGTGGCAAAAATGTAGGAGCATAAGTTTTCACATGTCTGAATAACACGAGGGCTGACTGAGCCCTTGTGTTATTCAGATCCTTAGCTAGAGCTCAGCACAACATTTTCAGGACTACAGAGGCTGACACTAGAAAAAGTAAAGCTACTTCTGATATATTGATCTACTGCCATGATGTACCAAAGTATAAATTTTGGCCAGGCAAAATGAGTTCATTTGTACATCTCTACCTTAACTTCCTTCTGGAATTTTGCTTCTAAACAGTAGCTGTACCTCCAACAGAAATATCCAATGAGACACTCAAATGTCAGCCATAGGAACACAAAAAATAAAAAAGACTGAATGGAAGAAAAAAGCCTGGTGTTGCTCACCAAACATAACTGGGATAATTGCACTGTAGGCAACATGTTGGAGTTTTGCTTATTTTGAATAACTCCAACATTAGAGAGGCATGGCCTGAAGGTTGGTACAGTGGAGTTTTCATGTGCACAGGGAAATTCCTGGCTGACAGAGTCAGTTGCTGATTCATTATTAGCCATTCTCCGTCTTTTCAGAAAAGAGTGTGCTGAGGGAAAGCAGCATAACTACAGTGTAAAGACAGTCCTGAAATGCCAGAGTAAGACATCCAAATATTGTGCACAGCAGCCCTGTAACCTGCCCTCAGATCCACAAGAACTGTAGTTAGAGACTAAGTTGTGCCAGAGCTTGGCTCTAGTGACCACTGTAAATTAAACCTTAGGCCATATGAATTGTACTTTGACCTTTGTTTTTATCTATGGAAGTGTAACCAGTAGACAAAGGATTATAATTACAACTTTAGCTACAGGATATCCTATAACAAAAGATAGGGAAATGTCTCAAGACACAGACAAAAAGGGTGCCTGCAGGTACTGGAATCACTGCTCCAGCTTCAAATAAAAACCATTATTTTCATGTTTTAGCTTGAAAATAAGATAAGATTCAGCTACTTCACCATTAAAGCTTTCCTCATAACTGAAAACTGAATATTTGTTTCATGCTAAAAATTTTAAAGGGCTCTAATCAGTAATTTGGTTCATACCTAACTTTTTCTGACCTCAGCTGCTCAGGGATCACAGTTTTACAAGGAGATAAGCAATCTCTCAATTCAGCCTGGAGCTAGAGACTGTTATTTGCTCTTCAGGTAAGATACTGGCTACTCTCTAGGGTAGGTAAGACCCTTCAGTTGATAGCCTGTGATCCATAGCAGAGACAAAAGGGACAACAAACTGGCCTTATTCCCCAGCTTAGCTGAAGGCAAACCTATGTATTTAAAAAATAAAAATGAAAACAGCTGGGACCTCTGTTTTTCCATTCTTTCTTTCGTTGCCTGCTGGTGGGAGTTATTAAAGCATTCTGGTTCCTATAGATGCTGATGATAGTGATGTGTTTGGAGGAGTTTGCTGTACAGTGAGGCTTCTGGGGCACAGAGGGTAAAAGGGAAACTGGTGTATGGAAGTAGAGTGTATTAGGATAGATTGTATTTTGGAGACATATAGACAAAAGAGATGCAAAATTTGGGAGGCATAGCCACTCAGGCATGAGAAAAAACTAGCAATGAAGGGACAAAATAAAGACTGAGATTCTGGAAATCAGAAACCTGTAACAGAGAAGAAAAAGGAAGTGTGAGCTGAGCACACCGTGTCTGGAGAGGGAAGAACAGAACAGAAATCTTAAAGTGTACGACAGCCTTCTTTAGCTGGTTCTGGTTTCTTCTTCCCATTTCTCACCCTAATTTGACTCCACTAAAAAAGCAAAGGAAATACATTTGGGAAAATTTGGGAAAATTTCAAAATTTGTCTATTTTGAAATCCCAAAAATATATCAAAATTGTGATCCAACTCTATTCTACATATTTGTTTAAACATAATAGATCAAAGAACTTAAGGGCAAAACCACAAAAAATATTTTGAATAAGTCACCCTACCTGTATCCCCATTCTCTGGATCTGCTTTCTTTTCTTCTATAAACAAATGAAAGCAATATGTAAAACAAAAAGAGGGGGAGAGAGAAAATGCAGAAATAATAATAAAAGTAATATAAATCATGCATTAAAAAAAGAAAAATAATAAAACCCATCAAATTAATTTAACTTAATGAGTTTAGTCAACCAACCAAGTATGGTGCTCTACATCCAGAGGCATATTCACTGCATGCTAGTGTATACATTTGTGCACTCTTATTGAACATTTACTGAAGGGAACCCATGGATATTTTGTGCACTTCCAGAATCATTAACACACTCAACAATGAGGGAGCTAGGAAGGTGTTAGATATAGCTACTTTACAGTTTCCTTGATTGGGGTGACACAAAAATAGACATAGAGAATTTACTTGTGCTGTATGTTTTATACAGTGCACGCACGAGATACAGTCTAATGGTTCAGGCATAAAAATTGAATGTATCAGAATGGCTTTCAGTAATTATTTAAAGCTTCATTGGTTTAATCAATTTTCATAGCCTCTACAGGTTAAAAGGTTTAATAATGACATTACCACAGCTTGTCTTAGAGTTAAAAATTATGAAGACCAAAAGACACTAATATCAATACTCAGAACTCAGTTCATGCACTTAAATTCAGCTGACTGATGCCAACAAATACTCTGAATGCATATCAAAGGTTGTAAATCGCTCAGGGCATTCCTCTGTCACAAAGAAATGAAAATACATTGGATCCCTATCAAATAATTTGGCAGCTCATAAATAATCTGAAATCCAAGTTTGGTAATTAATGCAAAAGAATTTTAAGCCAAATGAAATTTACTTTAATTAGAAATACATTAACTTTTAGACAGACTCTGGATTTTTTTCAAAATTATATTAAATTCAATTAAAACAGCCCCATAAATATGGAGCAACAGCCTCCAAGCTACACACCAAAAATAGCATGCATTATTAGAACTAAATATTTTTCCAGAATTATTGGTCATGGAGGATAACTGACAAAATTATGATCTATTTTACAGCACACAGACTGAAGAGAGAAATAGGTGTTATATTTTAAGGAAATACCATTTCGTAAATGAGTATTGAAGCAGAGGATGAAGTCATCCTCAGAGAGAAATCATATCGGAGTAAGGTAGAAATGTAAGAAAGAAAAATGTGCTCCTGCAGAGAGCATAAATAATGGGCCACACTTCGCCAGGATCTTGCTTCCCATTATGCATGGGATCAAGGTTATTGTTCTGCTGGCAATTTCTAGTGAAACTATTAGAAAAATTAATGGGAAAGAGATACGGGAAGTCATGAACCTACACTTTTGGAAATCAGTGCCGATACTGCCCTATGTGAATTGTGGGAAATGCTAGGAAAACAGCAGAAAGAGAGTAATACTTATGTTTGCTTTTCAACCATTCAATTTTTTAAAATTTTTTTTAGTTTCTCTCATCAATATAAAATCCACAAATACATCTTCTACTGCCTCATTCCTTTCTAAAGAGAAGGCAATTTGATAGCAAAACCATTGATCCAACACAATTCACAATAGGTGAAAGTGAAGTAAGTCATTAAAAAACCCTTGAGCTCAGAGAGAATGATAAGTTATTCCATATGCATAGTGAAATCTTTATTTTGCCTAAATATTATCTTAATACAGAAATCTTATACTATATAGGATAATTATTTTTAAGATGCCTAAAAATCCATTCATCCTTATGTCTGGATGTCTTTCAAACATGAGTCTTTTAATAAATGCATTGTTAAAATAAAGAAGGCTGAAACGTGTCCAAATTTCAGTCATTATTACTCTGTGTTTAAAAAGTATATAGAAAAATACTTCCAAATGGAATTGTAGAAATGAATATCATAGTACTAGCAAACATAAAATTTTATTAGATGCTTGAATTTTAAAAGTAATTGAAGTGATGTGACAAATCTCTACAATAAATAAATTCTTTAAATTTTTAAAAGAGAGGTCAGCATAGTGGATCCTAGTCTCCAAACTGAGGCTTCAGTTGTATTGTGAAAAGTTGTCTGAAGAAGTACTAGAAAGAAGATTGAATTGAGAAGGATCTCACTTGGATAGGAAGCGGTAGAACTGAACAACATCTGTTTTGTCTATTGGCCAAATAAAATACTAACTTCTCAACAGCAAAGATCACTGCAGCTATGGACCTAGTCATCACTTCTTAAAAGAATTCAGAGCAGGTTCAGGATGTTGACCCTAAAGTAATTAATGCTTTTGGTTATTATGTGTTCAAAACAAAAAAAGCTCTAAACAGCCTTAATATCTTGTAACTGCTGAAAACCAATAAATCGTTATGAGTTTATTTTAAAATGTGTCAAACTGAATAATAACAAAGTCACCAGTCATTTCTAAAAAATCTCGATCTGTTTTCATTTAATGATGCCTTCAGTATCATCACATTAGTCAATATTTTTCTACATTACTTAATTTAACTTTGGTTTACAAAATGAAAATCATATACTGTATCCTGTGGTGTAATGATCTCAATTTAAGAACTAAAGTTTTTCAGAGCTAAACAATTTGGAGAAAAAAAATCAATGCTTTCATGAAAGAGACATTTCTGTACATCACAGAAAATAACTATATGTTTTCAGTTTAATCAGAATACACATAAATTTAAGTATATTGATGAAATATAGAGATGAACTCTAGAGACAGAGAGATTGAAATGCTGAAAGATCCTCTCTCAAAACCTTCTTCTACCATCATAGTAGACATTGCTATTATGACCACTGACATTTTATAAAATAGTAGGGACAGGCAAGTTCCCATGCCCTTGAAATGGTCTATTCTTTCTAACTGGTCCTAATATATCTGATAGATATCTAACAATGTAACATGTATCTGGAAGATTTAATGAATAGAAAAAACTCTGGCTAATCAAGAATCTCATTCAAGAGCTGACTTAGCAAGAACTAAACTTGATCTAAAATGTCTTTGATAAGCTATATTTTCTTGGAAATGCCTTAATTAGCTCTGATGTTTTGATCATCAGACTTCATTCACTTCACTCCAGGAACACTCACAAAGCAGGGACTCCAAGTGGCTTGGAACAGAGCATGCCCATTTCTGTACATGACCAAATAGAGTAACAGTTCCACAGAAGAAGCAGGATAGAAAATGGCAGCATTGAGCAATTTCTCAAAAATTGCTGACTTCCTGGTGAGGATGAGGAGGAGCCTGACTCTGCAGCCCTAAGGTTACAGCTGGAAGGTGCTGAGCTTTACAGTCTTCCTCCCAGAATTTCTTCCTTCTCTCACAGCTGACTGCCCCAAACTTAGAGCTTGGTTCTCTCTTGAACTGTCTCTCTTCTCTCACCTGGGATCCAGATGAATGAGATTTGCATCAGTTGAACTGAGGCCTAAAATATATATTGACTTCCTTGCTTTGAATGAAAGAAATTGCAGCCTCCAGCGGCGGAAGATGTGCATCTCATTACAACAGTCAGATTTGCTTCTGAGTTTATGCAGAAGATGAAACAATGACTTAAATGGTTACATCTTTCTATTTTTCATACTTGCAAAAACTTAAAATCAGCAATATGACTAGGAAGTATATTTATAGAGTGGATAAATTAGCTTCTTAAGTGTTTTGTTGAAAAGTGAGTCTAATTTTTTAGGGTGGTGGAAATTGTTAAATAAAATTTTATTTTAAAAATCAAATATACGCATAGGACCCCAACTTCCGGTAAATGCTTTTAAAAATGCTAGTCAAATTTCTCACTAGAGATTTCTCTTGAAATGTTATTCATGAGAATATAGGAAAATTAATTTTATACAAAAAAAAAAAAACAAAACCTCCCTGAAACAATATCACAGAATATTCTGAGCTGGAGGGGACACACAAGGACCATCGAAACCCTGGCCCTGCCCAGGACAGCCCCAAGAGTCACATCATGTGCCTGAGAGCACTGCTCAAACTTTTCTGTCAGGCTTGGTGCCGTGACCACTTCCCTGGGGAGCCTGTTCCAGCGCCCAAACATCTTCTGGGGAAGAATGTTTTTTTAATGTCCAACCTAAACCTCCTCAACACAATTTCAGGCCATTCCCTCGGGTTCTATCACTGATCACCACAGAGAAGAGATCGGTGCCGGCCTCTCCTCTTCCACTCAGAAGAAATTTGTAACTACAATGAGGTCTCCCCTCAGTCTCCTTCAGGCTGAACAGATCAAGTGACCTCACTCGTTCCTTCTATGGCATCCCCTCTAGTCTCTTCACCATCTTTGTAGCCCCATTATCAAATCAGGCAAAGGAAAGAAGACTGTCTCCTAAAAGCAAAATGAAAAAAGTGTGGAAGTATTTGCTTTGAACAGCAAAACTTGCTAGTTAAAGGTCTTGTACTCAAAGGATTACATTTCCTCCTGTTTCATGAGCTATTCAATTCCAATTCTACCTCTAAGGAATTAGCTTTAAATTTGGTCATTCTGGCTGTCAACAGCGTGAAAAATAGAACTGCCTAACTGCTAGGTTAGGCAAAATATCAGGTGATGTGTGTGATACAAATAGTTATTGAACTTCACTCCAGGGCTTTATGCCCAATGTATGGCAAACGGAAAAAAGTTACTGTTGCAGCAAGCAAAGCCTTTCCAAGTCTGTGATCCACATCACAGTCTGAATGAAAAGAATAAGATTGACACCCACAGAAACATGGACCAAGAAAAAAATAATTAAAGGTTGTTGAAGTGTTTTTGTATTATTGTTTAAATGTGACTGAAGTGTCAATTAGTGTCCTTAAAAGGGCATGCTCAAAGGAAGATCATTTCAGTTAGCCAGCTTCCCAGTGGGGAGCATGCCTTCACATTCATGTTTTCCATTTGAGAATGACTTGATGGCTTTTTTGTTTTGGCTTTTTTTCTTGTTGGTTTCAAGCTTGACACACTAAACAAAGACTGAAACCCGGGGGGACATTTCTCACCACTTAAACAAATTTTTTATCACAATGCTCAAAGCATGTTAAGAATGTTACTTTGGATTATTTGCAGAATACATGGCACTGTTTAGTAAAAGAATTGAATAAAGTGGTGTGGTGATCTAAGCTGGGAAGTTAAAGAATCTCTAGAATCATGGGTTCATGAATTGACAGGGTCAGCTCAGATCTTCATCACTAAGGATAGATCAGTGCAAATGGTAACGGACAAAGATCATTTGAAGAAAGCCAGGAAGTTCTATTTTGCATGTTTTTTACACTAATGATTAACTATGAGCAGCTCTTCTCTATGGTGCGTAGATCCTTTTCCAAAGTGATTTTTGGAGGGTAGCCTGTGACATTTTTCCATGTTGCTCATACAAAGGTGTACATATATTTTGGTGGCCTTTGTAAAATACTGAGCCCCACACAGTAAAAGGAAGGAAGAAGCAGTAAGTCAAAAATTAGCTAAAACCCCCTTCCTTTTGCTTTTCCCCAGAATTCTGGTGCATCCTCCCTATATGAATGATAGGATTTTGAAAGTGTAAAAGAAAAATATCTGAGTGGTCAGTAGGTCACTTATGAGTACAGGCTTACATCCTGTACTCATAAAAATCCATTCAGATTGGTCACACTATAAATGCTGCAGTCTTCAGGAAAGCCTGAGCAGAGTCTTATTGTTAAGCTTTCCAACATCTTGTTTGCCAAGCATGCAAGGTCCTCAGAATTCCCACCACTGGTATATTCCACATAACCAGAGAATATTTCACATTGTGATACAGCCAATTAAAAACATAGGAATAAACTCTTGATGATAACTATGCCTCTGCTTTCCGAAAAGCAAACAGGTATTCATAGAGATCCCTCAGCCATCCTAAGAATGCAAGACATCTTCATCAGCACCTTAGTAACTAGAAAGATGGTCAAAGCTTTAACCAAAAAACACGAAACCAACAGTGGTGTGTGCATCTGCATTTAGGACTCAGGAGAATGACAAATTAAGCTACCAAAATTTTACCAATGAAAAACTATATATGTAGTGCTACTCTGTCTTTTGCGTAATTATGCTGTCATTTTAAATTACATAATCTGATATTTTTACTATTTTATCTTCAGAAGACTGAAGATCAGACTTTACTTATTTGGTTTAGTACAGATGGCTACTTTGAGGGTTGGATTTGGAGGTCCTTGGTTTCTGGTTTTAATTTTAAACAAAATTAAAAATAAGGACAAAGAACCTCCCCACCATCCAGTATGATACCTCTATTACCATGCTAAATACCTTTAAACTGAATTTGGAGTTTACCCTTTGGGTTTTGTTGTCCAAATACAGATTTAGATGCTTTAAATGTCTCTTTCAGAGTCTAAGGCATCAGATTTTAAACGTGCCTGTCAAACTAAATATCGTAGACATGTTCAGAGATGCACAAGTAATTTAATCATATTTGTGCTAAAATGTTACAAATTCCACCCAGAAATGTTTTTTCAACATTAAGGAAGATGAAAACAGAACAAAGCACCATCCTGCTCTTTAAAGGAAAGTGTGTCACTGAATACTGCTTATAACAATAACTCAAAAGCAGAAGGGTGGTATATTCTGTTTGTGAAGGATACCGCAGTAGACCCACTCTTGGAAGGCTTGAAAAGCCTCTTGTGGTACTGTAAGATAAGAATGCATTCATATAATTGTGCTCCTTGTTTTCTATTGAAGTTGATCTCTTAAACCCTCTCAACTGCACCTATTTTTTTGGTCTTTGCTTTCCCCAACAGTTTATTTACCAGACCTTTCCACTGTTTGGCCCTCTACTGTCCAGGTCTATGAGCTCTTCCAATTTGGTCACTCATCTTCGATGGGTTTTGTTAGGCTTTGTAGGCTTCATTTCCAGCAATCATGTTATTACAAAAAAACTTCATAACAAAGCGCAGAAAAAAACCCCCATACTTCAAAGTCCTCGTCTATTTGAATTTCCTTCTGAAAGCTAACAAAAACTCTAATCAATTCTTTGTGTGCTCCTAACACGACAGTTTGGCTCCGGATGTTGCAGAAAAGAACATTAATATCTATTTCCCTGACTTTCATGGCCCTTTAGAAGTGGAACTGTCCCCACTACTTTATCTTCTAACTCCTATGCACCTTAGAAAGAAGCAACAACTGGGCATCACTACTAGAATTAATTACCTAGCACTATTTCTCCTGCATGTACACTGACTACTTTAAACTGTCATGGATCAGCCTTTCCATAGTTTTGGTGATCAAATTTTGGGCAGTTTACTCACGTCTGAGTCAACTCATATCTAGGCCTAGATTAATTTTGCAAGGCTAAAAATGTTTTCTGCATTTCCTATGTTTGAAGAACACAGTGTTACTCGCAATTACAAGTAATTTTTGGCACAATGATAACTGCTTGGTCTGAACCATCTTACTGATGAGAATAAAGATGTCTTCTTCAGGCAGGGTCTTAATTCCATTTCTCGTACTGAATACATGGGAAGGTGAACAGGCAGACATCTCCCCAACACTTTTCACTGTATGTAAATATCACAATATCTAAACCTATGAAACAATAATTTCCAACATATGATTTAAAAAAGAAATCTAAAAAAACTCCTGCTTTGCAAAGCTCCTCCTTTACCCAAGAAAAACGGGGTTTTGTCTTTAAGGATGATATCAAGCTCTACTGCTGTCAGATAACAAAATTTATAATAAAATATTTTGCTTGTTAGCTTTCTGAACTTGCTTTTGTTCTTGAAATATGCAGCATAAGCTTTGCATGTGCTTTCATATAACTTTTCAGTAAGAACCTAGATATTTTTGAAGAAATAAAATTTTCTCATTTTTGCAATTAGAGATTATAATATCCACAGAGAGGAAATGGCAATTTTTTTTTTCAATACAACTGTCACATATTCAGATATTTAACCTACTCAACATCACTTGATGTAATAACACCTTAAATCAACAGCTAATCCTTTAATTCACATGAATGTTTGGTAGCATGATAAATAAGGTGAAACTAATTTCCTAATGCCTTTTGCAACCAGACATGCCTATCTTGTATTGGACTTTTTAGCCACCAACGTGCTTGCAACAAACATGGGTAGAGCCCGGCCCAAATCTTCGTTCGCGAAGCCCAGCCTCGATGAATTTCCTAATGAAACCTGTAAATGGGTAATCCTAGTTCAACACTTCTTAAAGCAAATTCTAAAGCAATGGGAAAACACCTGGTTCTAAAGGTATGCCTTTGAAATGTCACCCTATCTTTTTAGCTGTGCTCAAAGTGCCTTGTACTGAAATGTGTAAGCTACTTTGTTACTGAGGTAAGAGTGCCCTATTCTGTTTATAGTTGTGCTCAAAGTGCCTTTGTAATCAGTGCCTCATAACTACTTAACACAACTGCACCGCTGATCATACTTTTGCATTTGTGTGCTAGACAATTAAATTCATCAGTGCCTCATACATTTACTTAACACTCTGAAATAAATAATATGAATTTGATTCAATCAATAACTCAGAGGCAGGTTCTTGAATAAGAAGGTCAACAACTTTCCTTTCCTTTATTATGAACAGATACAAAATGGGTCACCCAGTCATCTGATTTCATTTTTGTAATAAAAGAGACTTGCAGTCACTGCACAGGGACTGAGAAAGGATCATAAGCACAAGATAAGTAAACACAGTCTTTCTACAGCATAATTTATTAATTCCTAATAATAGTGGTTTACAAAAGAGAAAATCCAGAACACACTACTGTTTGTCTTTTCTATCCATAGTTAACATTTTTTACCCTGTAATTTAAGCAATTTCTATCTTGAGATTTATTTAATAAGAAAACCACAGCAAATAACATCTGCAAGATTCTGTAAAGATAATCTCTGGCTCTGATTAGGACAAGATTAGTCTGAAAGGTAAAAGCGAGTTCTGAAGGAGCCAGCCACAGTAGAGAAAAGACAAAAGTGTTTGACTAAATGTCACCTAAGTTTAATGGACCAGTCAATGTACCCCAACACTTCCACAGATTTTTGAGCCTAAATTGCATTTAAGTGGCTTCTCTAATTTGTTGGGATAATAGCAGAGGCACAAGAAATTAATTAAAGCTTTGACACGATAACTGTAAGATTTAAATTTTATAGATGAACTTAATTAACTTAAATATGGGGAATTTCATTGTTGTTCTACATACCCCAACTGAATGAGCAGGGAAATGGGAACAACTATTGCATTTTAAGAGCTAGGATGCTTTGCTGGATGTTAGTTCTCTGCCAGTAGTATAAAGTACATAGAAAATTCAATAAAATGGCAGATGAAAATTTTATATGAAAGAAGAAATCATAAATAATGCACAATATGACATAAAATCCTCATACAGCTAAATTAGAGCTCCTTCAGTGTATTTAGGGTCTTCTTGCTCTCATGTTATCATAACCTTATGTTTTACATAAAAACTGAAATAGTTTTTATTCAAAGAAACTAATTTCAAACTAAGTTTGAAATTTCAGTGCCTGGAATTTAACTTACTAAAATTATTCAGTTTTGAAATTATATCCTCCCCAGGGTCAAAAATAACTAGTTATATAAGAGTTTCTGCAGTTTTTGTAGTAGATGCAAATGCAAAGATAAAACAAATTATAGATTATTTTCATGTGCTAGTTGGAAGCTTAAAGGCTAATTTATAGATAATTGAGACAGGAATAAGAACTGATATGATAGAAATCAAATCAGTTTAAAGTCTTAAGGTATGGTATATGCGTCATCAGTTACCTTTTATCACTTTTTATAGAGTACATAGTTTATAGGTGATAAAAATTACATAAGCATCTTAACCTTAAGTTCCTACAGCTTGCCAATATTTTGCCAATTTATTGAGGGGGAAGAGAGGGAAAAGTATGTGAGGTGAGCTGTGATAAAATCTATAGAAAAGGTAAAATGAAAAAAAATAACACAGAGAAAAGCAGTAGAAGAGACAGACCTGAGTTTCTTCTCCTTGATGATTCCGCTTCTTCTGTGATCACATCGTGTAATGTACAGACATAGACAAAGGAGATGGGCGTGAGAGGATGTATTCAGAAGGTTAAAACTGACACTGAGGGAAAGGGCCAAAGATTGTTTTAGAGAGAAGTCTGCAGAGCAGAGTTAGTAAGTGGGGAAAAAAAATAACAGACACTAGAAGAAAAAAAGAAAGCTGAGGAAGAAGTGGTTAAACTACTGTTGTTGGAAAAGAACAGTAAAGACAGAGTTAGTAGAGGAGCTGAGGAAATAATAAAAGTTATAACTGACAGCAAAGTCAATCCTTGCAATGAAGCTGAAGAAAAAGCTGGATAGTAAAAGGTATATTAACTAGAATAAATACTTTTGTTCATGACAGTTCAACTTTTTTGAATATTGTCTATTTTAATGCAAGTATTATTTTTCTTTTTCAAGTATTGAGCACTCAGTTTAATGTCACCAATGGGAGGTCTATTACTAGATTTTTCATTATTAAATTATCATAATTTATGCTGAAAGTATGCAAAGCAAAAGACAGATTTTTTTTTTTTTTTTTCAAAAGTATGTACAAGCTCAGAAATTTCAGAATCCACATAACACACTCTGGAAAGGACTGCATTATTGTAACACTCTGCCAAAGGCAAAATTATCAAGCCCAAAGTACAGAATGTGGGAAAAGAGACTGTGTAGCTATTAACTCTCATGGTCAATTCAGGACACTTTTTCAGAACCAAATGTTACTCTCATCTCACAGACATCTAAATTACTGCAAATGCATGCAAGTTAAATGCCGAAGCAACTATCTCATTACTTACTTTATTACTTCACATTCAAAAACACACTGCTATTTCAGACATGGAGAACATCTGAGGGACAGTGTCATGCTCTGTACTGAAAATCTATTTGCAGTAAAAGAATGCGAGGAATTCATTTTGAAAAGTAAGAATAATTACAAAGAACTGTGAATCTACTCTTGCCAGGAGAACAAATGCTTTCTTCCAAAAATCATCAGAAATAGAAGAAAAAAAATCTATAAACTTAGCATGCAGTTTGTTAATGAGTCACAAACACTGCTCATAATTCATTAACACTGCAGATACTAGGTTAGTTCATACACCACAAAAAACAGCTATAATTGTGTCGGCATTTTAGAGTCAACATCGAGATAACATTGACAAAATGCAAAATTAGAATAATCAATATAAATCAACAGAGCTAAAGACAACACTAAATTTCATCTGATAACCATTATGTTCTATACTTCAACAATTTTATACTATAGCTGGTAGCTTATGTTTTCATCTACTTTTAAATGCCTGGACTGTACCAAAACTTTGTTGCAAAAACAAGAAGGTTGAAACATACATAATTAGAATGTATTTTTAGGCAATTAAATTTTCTTACAGGACAAACACACTTAAGTGCTATATATGAGATATGTAATATGAAAGCATAGCAGCCATCCATTTTGACTAAGGTTGAGTCAAGTTTTGACTAATAATGGCATATAAGTATCTTTCTATCTGGGCAACTATAATGAATCCACTGTATGAAATACAAATAAGCAAATACAAAGATATACTTCTCCACGGTGTGTTACAGCTCATATTAATGTTGTCTCACTATAATTGCTATAACTGTCAAATAAAAAAATAAATCATCATTAGCATCACCAAAACATGGTAAAAAGTACTTTAAAAGTTCTGAAAATGTTTTATATTACATATCTATAGCCCTGAAGTGGCACTCCTACTATAGCAAGCCTGTTATTAGGAAGTCTCTATCATGACCCCCTTCTACTGTTTATTTTTTTTCAGTATCCATAGGAATGAGTAGCTTTGAGACATATAGTGCATTAACATAAATCCTTCCGTATAAATTTTCAAAGCAAGTTTGGAATCCCATTATTTCCAAATTTGGAATATGCAGGTTTTCTAGCAATGTCAGTGGGACACGACTGAATAGCAGGGAAGTTCCCTTTGAATATTTTAGAATCAAATGACCAGTATTTGCATACAAATCAGTCACATATACCTACACTTTTTTAAAATTGTATTTTTAAAAGCAAAGTATTTGTTATGGAAAAGGTATTTACACATCAAAGTGGTAAAAAAATCATTCTTAGTAACAAAGACTTTTCAGTTTTAGGTTTTTACTCATCAAACATATTAGAAGAATAATTCTAATAGAAGCCAGAGGAAAAAAAATAAGATAATAGATATCTTCTCACTGTAGATACCTGATCAGCTGATAACACATGTATTGAGATAAATGGATTATAACCTTTTTGCATTAATTGATAGAAATATTAACGAATTAGGAGAAGTTTTGGCATGGTAATACACCACCGTTTTTTAATTAACAATGATAAGAAGGAAGTACTAATAGAGTAATTAATTTAGATACAATAGCACTTATTTTAATCAATTTTCTCCCAATTAAGAAGCCATGCCATAAATCCCAAATAGTAGGTAGAAAATTCTATCTCTGTAGCTTTTAATCTACTAAATAGATCTTTGTTGATAGAAATACATTTCATGCAGAAATAAAACAATGACAGAAATTCTATTAAATTTACATCATATCAATAGGCAGTCTTCATTTGAATAGTCATTGCTTTGCTGTGGAATTAGCATTTTTTGGATCAATTGTTCACCTTGATGTATGAGACTAGTACCTACAAGGGTATTATATGCAGATTTAGACACAAATGAAACTCTCAATAACTAAACTTATAAAGTAAATAAAAAACAGGTATTGCACTGTAAGTCTGAAAAATCCCCAGTACCATCTTTTTATCACAGATAAAAAGATACAGAACTGTTTGATACAGAACTGTTCATTGTAAGTAATGTCACTCATTGAAGAGATGCATTTAGGAACTCAGTGTTCAAAAAAACTTCACATGGCAAACGTATCCATTTAAAATTCTTAAAGCAGCATAAGACAAAGAGATGTAAGTTAATTACTCTTGTTTTTCCCTCAAGGGTTTTCTTAATTTCAGTTTCATCTTATCCTAAAAAGCAAAGATCTTTCACTGCAGATATAGTCTCAGATTCGAAAAGCCTCATTTCTGGCCTCTTCACAAAATGAGATGTGCAATAGCACAGTCAAACAGACGTTATCTTAAAACCTGGAGGAGACTCTAAGACAGACATGCTCCATGGAGTCTGCATGTTTCATAAATATATTCCATTAGTCTGGATGTGATTAGACATGAGGAACAACATAATGCATTTAACTTTCACGAAAGATGTTCCCTGACACCACTCAAACTCTGCAATGTTAAGGATACAAATAGAATAGATAGCAGTATAGCTAAGAGCACAAACATTGATTAAAATAAGATTTAGAGTGAAAGACTATTTTACTACATTGAGATGTGAATAAAATCAGTATATGTAATATATAATACTTTTTAATAACATTAAGCCACAACAGACACAGTGCCTGTCCCACATTTCTAAATTCTTTTAATGAGGTAATTCTCTACTAGTGAAATTAGTTCTTTATCTTAAAGAATATATCTGTATACACAAAATCAAAGCTGTATACTGGATGTATGCTGACATTTTTGCTTAAAAATATAGTCAGAGAATAAAGAAAATACAGGAAGACTAAAGCAACACATTTAATTACGCAATTACATAATATAGGCTGTATGTAATATAAGCTATATAAAAAAATACAATAAATAAAAATAGTAAGTATGGAAAATGTGTTTTTCCTACCCAAAGATAAGGATAGTAGAGAAGAAGGTAGAAAATAACATACAAGAAGAAATTGTAAATATTCTCAGTAGCATGAACTCTCTAAATCAAATGAAACCATGTAGACTGCATTATTTTTTCATAAGTCTCAAGAGATAAGGTAAATGAAGAATTCAGAGAGAGCTTTTATGATTTTGTTTCTCTGAATAAAGTTTACATTTTAATTTTATAAGGAGAGAAAAAATAAAATAGTAATATTTCAAAATCTTAATGAACTATAGTTACACATTGGATTGGAAATATTATGAATCCTGAAAAGAAAATTATATATCTCTCTCTGTCCTACAGTTACATTACCTTTTCCATCCTCATTTATTTCACATTTCTAACCATATATCCCTTCTCATAATTTTCAATCTATCATTCTTTCAATTCTGCCTACAAACTTCTTTTAAAATAAACACCACTTCATTTTGAATTATTTTTGACTACAGTTTTAATACTAAAACTTACTTCCTTGTAATAGATAAACTAAAAATTTTAGTCACATTACAATTACTTTTGAAAGATTCTTTCTATGTACAGACAAGCAATACTTCCACCCAGGAGAGGTATGTAAATGTTCCAGAGATAAAAACAGGCATGATTCCCTTTAAACTGAAAGCCAAGTCTATCCATCTAAAGACTTACTATTTGTAAGCACACATTAACTTTGTATTTTCTCTTATGTTTAAGCTGCCATTGCTGTGATTCCTTTAAAACTTTAATTTACTTCCATATTACAGAAATGTATCTTTCCCTCCAAATAAGTACAGTCCATTTTTACCTCATTCCATTCTGAGATGTACAAAACCATTTCAACTATTCTGTCTCCTCTTGTTCAGTCTTATTAAAATATGTCAGCACTTTACTATGGTTCTGTTCTTCAACTGCTCCTTAGAAATCCAAAGTGTCTGTGACAAAGTTGGATATTTGATGACACTACAATCTTTTCAACAGCCAGTGATAATGCAAGCATTACAGAATGGTTTCCAGATAATAACCATCAAACCTACTGTCTCAGTGTAGGAAAAACAGGGGAAAAACAATAGCATTTTCATTGCTATCTTATGAAGGCAGTTTCTGCATTACCTTTGTTATCTCTGGATGGAGACACAGTTTGATAGACTGCATTCAGCTTCCAAAACTTTGGACAGTGAGACCAATTGAACACTTCAGAAACAATTGACAGGTAACAGAAATAGGTATCGCTGCCATGGTACACTAAACCCTGTGTTTTTTCCCCTTTAAATTACCTTGACATGTT